GTTTATTTCCATTTCGAGTGAAAGTTTTGCGTAAAGAGATTCGAAGCTCGGTTCCACCAGAAGACGATCTACTTTTAAACGAAACATATTCACTCGAAGCTGTTTAAGATTATGCGAAGAAAAGTTGGGTTCGAGGAATCTCTTGTTTCATAATTGTTGAGTTTATTTCCATTTCGAGTGAAAGTGTTGCGTGAAGAGATCCGAAGGTCGGATCCACCAGAAGACCAACTTTCTATTGGCTTTTCTGGAAAATTCATTCAGATGCTGTTTCCGAGGCAATCTCCTTCGATTCCGGTGAAAAGCTGCACAGCTTTCGTCCGTCATATGACGGACATTACCAGAGCGAGGTATCATTGTCACAACAAAATTGAAGCTGACGAGTCGAGAAAACTCACCGTCAAATCCCTAAAAGTGGTATATATACTCTACAACTTTTAATCGGAATCGAAGGAGATTGCCTCGGAAACACTGTCAGCATGAATGCTGCGGTAAAGCCAATCGACAGCTGGTCAAGAGGAATTCGCCATCGTCTTCTGCTGGAATCGACCTTCTAACCTCTTCATCGGACACCTACACTCGAAATGGAAGTAAGCTCAACAAGTATGAAATAAGAGATTCCTCGAAACCCAACTTTTATTCGCTGTAAAAGTAATCTTCTAGAATGTCAATAATTCATGAGTGTGAAATTAATCACCATAGACCGATTAAGGTGATTTATGTGCCATTGGTTGAATTGTTCAACATTAAGATGAGTATGTTTCATGATTACATTCAATTATAAATTATCCTTGCCATTACTTAAAGTCATTTACGATACTCGAGGTGATTAATTTGTCATTCGAAAGTTACGGATAGTCTCAGAAGCTACTTATACCAAAAATAAGTAGTGTCTTCTATTGCAACGTTAAACACATGTTGCCTTAATAGACAATCCCATTTAAAATGTGAGTTGAGAAAGGCATGGCTGGCCTGAATGTCGCATTTTTCCCGATTTGGGCTCGAGTCCTGTAGGGGGTGCTGGTGAGAAATGGTCGACTGATGGGGAAGTTGCAGTCTATTTCGAAGGGGATAATCTTTTAGAATGCATGGATAAGCGAATTGTAGAGTTATCGTGAGATCCATTCTTCAGATTGTGTCTTCAAACTCATCTTAAACGACTTGGGCTGACTAAGTTCCTATCAACCGACCGGATTGCCGGTTTCAACCGACTTGTTTTGAGTTATTCATTTTGCTGTACTTTTCATGTCTTTTATAAAATGTAGTGGGAAAAGCTTCATAAATTGGCCGCTGCCGGATCGGTGACTTTTGGTGGATACTGCTTTCTGGCTGGCGAAATGTCAGTCTTTATGTGTGCGTCGGAATCGTGGGAGGCTGCTCCGAGACGTGCAATGCACATTTCGGTCTCCATGGCGGCCGATTTACGAATCTGTACTGTCTTTTCGCATGTTTTCCGTGTTTAGGAGTTCGAGGCGACCGCCGCCTCCCGAAGCAGTTCTGGCAGTCGGCGCCTTTGCGGCGCTCCGGCACTGGGTCCGCCAATCACGCCGGCCTCTTGCACCCTGCGCGGGTTCGGTCCGGCGCCGACAGACGCCGGCGCCTCGCAGACCATCTGCTCGGCCCAGCAACAGGTTGCCGAGGCCTCGCGGGTGCCGTCTCGAGGTGCCAGTCCGGCCGTCGGAGGATGCCCATCGGTTGGGCGGATGATGCGCCGCCAAGCCGCCGGTCTCGGACCTGAGGACGCATCGCGTGCGAGTCTTCCTGGCGCAGGTGAGGCTCTCGGACGAGGGTCATTCTTCCCACCGTCAGCTTGGCAACTGTGCTGAGATGGCATTTTCGCGTAAAGTCTGTTGTGAGGCCGATGTTTGTGGACAGCTTTGACCGGACGACGAAAGTCGAGTCCCGTCGTCCTGACGTTCGAGAGCAAACGAGCTGAGTCGTCGAGCGTTGTTTCCGTCGTCCGATGGCACTGGAGCTTTAACTGACCTTCCATACAGCTTCCAGTTGCCACCGGATCGAGCAGACCGTGTTGCGTATGCTCACAATTGACAAGGGGAATATACAGAATGAGTTGGGATAGCCGCAAAGATGGTGTTTTTTCATGAAGAGTGCCTAGGCTTCTTTAAATCTTCCGAAATTCCGCACGGAAGTGCATGATGAGACATCGTCGCTAGTTTCGCACGAAAAGAGGCTGGGCTTAGAAACGTCGTTTGACCAACTTTATCACATTTGGCGGTCATTCTTGCAAAGGTCTCCATTCAAACAAATTGGACCGATCTGTCCGACATGTTGGATGCAGTCACAACGAGACAATATTTAGACAAAGATAGAAGTGGGTTGACCTCGTCGTCGCAACTTGGTCTTGTTGTTGTCAGGGCGACTAGATAGAACGCATCGTCTGTCAGATTAGTTGTCATCACTCCCAGCATCGTTTACGGAAGAATGTTTCTTACCAAGTCGACTGTCTGATGCTGGCAATCGTGACAACTACTGTGGCAGACGCCTTCGGACTGGGTGCGTTCTACATAGTCGCCCTGACAACAACAAGACCAAGTGGCGACAACGAGGTCAACCGACTTCTATACGTCGAAAGGAGACTGCGACCATGCCAGAGGCCACAACATCTTGGTCTTCATATCTTCAATTTAGACAAAAATGTTTATAAAATGGTTGGATTAATTCTTTTGTTACTCGTGTTTGTGTGTGTGTCAGCGTATGTACAGAATACGCGCCATACATGAAAGTTGTCTTCTGTTCAGGTCGACCGACGCATCTCTACACGGTGCACTTGCATACGAAATGAAATGTATCTAAACCGGCTTCTTCATCTTCTTTTTCTTCGTCTTCTTCTTTTTCTTTTTGTTTTTCTTCTTCCTTGTTCTTCTTCTTTTTTGTTCTTCTTCTTTGTTCTTTATCATTGTTCTTCTTTGTTCTACTTCTTCTTCTTTGTTCTCCTTCTTTATTCTTTCTTCTTGGTCTTTGTTCTTCTTCTTTGTTCTACTTCTTCTTCTTTGTTCTTTGTTCTTTCTTCTTTGTTCTTATTATTCTTCTTTCTTCTTATTTTTTGTTCTTATTCTTTTTTTCTTCTTCTTTGTTCTTCTTTTTTTATACTTCTTCTTCTTTGTTCTCTTTCTTCTTCTTCTTCTTTTTTGTTTTTCTTCTTTGTTATTCTTCTTCTTTTTTATTCT